AACAATTTTTGAGAACAGTTAGAAGCTTTAATTCCAACACAATTCCACCTTGCTGGGAATCGTTGAAACAAAAAATTCTACGAACAATATACGTGAATGCCATGTGGCTCAATGCTACTGATCCGTGCTGTGCTCAGCTGCAACCCGAAAATTGTGGATGGTACATAGATGACCAATTAATAAAACCAATAGAGTTCCTTGAAGATCCGACGCCCTTGCAAGTTGATGACATTTTGCAGGCTACAATTGAAGAAAATGACAACGATAATTCTGAATTCGATTTCAATATTGCAATGTCTGATGAATCAGATAATGAATAATTTTTTGTATTATAGTAAGTAATCATAATTTAAGGATAAAAAAATACTTTTATAACGTTTTATAACAATAAAAAATATTTTTTCAACAATTAACTACTTAAATTATTTACACTGACGGCCATGTCAGTGAATTTATTCTTGCTGTTCTGCAAAAATGTACCCAAAAACTAACGGTCGCTGCGCTTCGCTGGTCCAAATCAACTAGTGACTCAAATGCCGTTTACCACACTTGTTACATAGTTTTTTAGTCGAAACAGAGTATCAGTTCGGAATAAAAAAATAGTAATGAGCCTATACTACTGAAGTTTACATGATAATAATAATAATAAAATGTAATTATAAATTTGAGTTAGAAACAATCTAAAGCCAAAAAGTTTTTTGATAAGGTTTTCAGATGATAAACTAAGAAACCATCAGATAAATATTTCTTGCAGAAGAAACTTTAACTGATTGGTTTGAAATAAATCATTACAGATAAGAAAGGAGTATTATAAAAGTAAAAAATAAGTATAAACAAGAAAGTAAAGGCGATTTAATTAAGCTACATAAGGAGTGATGAAATTGAGTGTTATTTCTAGATATATATTTATTATTATAGTTTCGTTTTATTCATCTTCGATTAAGTTTCTTAAGTAATGTAGAAATTCTTTAAATTTTTATATTTTATTCAACGTTTCGATCAATATCACATCACAAAACATCCAAAATTATTGATAAAAATATTAAGTACCTTAAATAAATAAAAATATGAAACAATTGCTACGAATATTATATCCTTGAAGTGTATGTTTATTATTACTTGCTAATAGTTTGTTTGTTTGTTAATTTGTAGTTGTGCTATAATTGATTTGAATTAATTTCTTATATGCCTTTTGTTGCCAATTTTTTGATAATTATTTTCTTAATTCTTAAAATTTAAATTCCTTTAAAACTTAACCCATTTTAGCAAGGTTTTATTTATTTTTAACTGAAGTATTTTAATGAAGTAAAAATGCATTTTTTTGTATTACTGACGGTCATATCAGTGAATCGTGGTGTTGTACAAAAATGTACCCAACAACTAACGGCCGCACAAAAAATATAGTATCCAAAATGTTTGGTAAACTTTATAACTTTATGTATTAAACGCTCGCTCTTCTCGTGCTAAATATAGTCCGGTAGAAATAGACCAAAAAATCGGGCTAGGTTTGCAATAATTCGCATAGAGCTGAAAATTAGTACGGGGCTTAAGTTCATCATTCTAAATGATATGTCAAAAGTCCCCATTGATCCCATGCCTGCTAAAAAAGTTATTCAAGGTCAAAGGTCAAAAAAAACGATTTTTTTGCATTTTTTTCGTAAACGGTAACTGTTATCGCAAAAACTGGAGAAATAAAACATATAGATCAGAAAATTATCTATAAAAAAGATTTCCTTACTTTTTTTGTCCGAGTAACCATTTTACAGATATCTCCAATTTAAACATCATAAATAATAATATACACGTATAAGCTGCACGTCTACACTAATACGCCGCCTACATACGTCATCAAAGATGTAACTTATAACTTTATTCGTAGAATTTATACCTGTTTTTTTTTGTTAACGATCTATGGGAAGTCAGCCGGTCGACTGTTTCTATATACTCTCAGTATTCAATGTTTTTTTGCAGTGAATACACGTTTTCGTTGTTAATATCTCTTATAAAATTTTGTGCTGTTCAATAATTCTTGAAAAATGTCGCAGTTTTGATTTATTTGTAGTAAACCTTTAGCTAAAAGTGAAATTGTTGTTGTTAATCGTGGAATGAAGACTTTAATTGATTCAAGTGTTGAGAGAAATGATGGATACTTTGATTTTCTGGCAGAAAATAAATCTGTGACTATTCATACTCAGTGTCGTAAAACATATACTCGAAATAGTTCTATTGCTGCTGCAATCAAAAGACAGCACGAAATGGAACAAGCCGGTACATCTGGAATAAGTCCACCTCGTACTAGAGCGCGGGTAAGTGAATCTAATTTTTGTTTTAAAAATTTTTGTTTATTTTGCGGTAATAAAGCCAATGAAGAAGCTAAAAAAAGCACAAGATGCTCGACGCAAAATTTATAAAGTTGCTACTCTCTGAGATAACTCAAGGTCCGCCTGACGATGATATAGCAAAATCTGTTATTGCACGCATTGAGTATGAATACGATTTAGTTGCTGCCGACGCTAAGTATCATAGCAATTGTTATAATTCCTATTTGAGACCCAGTAAGGGGGGTAAAATCGGTCGTCCTCAAGACGAATCTACTAATTCAGCGATGGATGAGATTTTTGCTTACATTCAAAATAGTGATGATTGCCAGTGTTCGATGGAAGAGTTAAAAACTGTTTGTAAAATTCCAACTATCGATAACAGAACAATTAAAATACGATTAAAATTAAAGCACGGTAATCAAATTATTATAACTGAAAAACCAGGCAAATTAACACTGATCTGTTTTATCGATAATCAGCACGATATTCTTAGCAAAGCATGGTATAAGGATAAAAAACAAGATAAAAAAGAAGAACAATTTAGGATACTAAAAGATGCGGCAGCAATTATTCGAGAAGATATTCAATCTTTAGTTTTTGATGATAGCAATTACCCCCCATCTAATCGAATGTTTAAAGACATCAACACTGATATACCGGAATCGTTGACTTACTTTTTGGAGCAAATGATTATGACTGCTATTCGGCCAAGGTCTTTCAAATCAAAATTGCAATTAGGTCTCTCAGTTTTCTTTCATCGACGATTTTAATCAAAACGTCTTATACAGATTATTTCTTCCTTGGGAATGTGTGCATCCTATGACGATACTATGCTGTATGAGGCAGCAGCAGTTTTTCATCGTCCACCTCATATTTTGTCACCAGAAACTGGCGCATTCATTCAATATGTTACAGGTAACGCTGATATAAATGTACACACTCTAGATGGATATAGTACACTTCACATTATGGGTATATATATATAGGTCTATTTCTACCGGAAACTTGTGACTCAAATGCCGTTTACTACACAGTTTGGGAGAATTTTTTTTTAGTAGTGATGCAAGCTCTGTTTAGATCACCTATAAAGTCAGAATTAATTGTGTCATTTACCACAGTGGACAAATGTTGACTAACTGTGTTTTCATTTTCCAACGGGGCTGTAAGAAGTCTGTTATTAGTACACATTTGAGATTTTTTTATTCCGGTAACGGTAAGGTATAGGTATATGTATAGCAAGTGTAATTTAAACATAACAAGGTGTTGCGACGTCCAAACAGAAGCTTACTTGAAAATATTTTGGAGAGTTAAAACAACTCCTCTTACGTCGCCCGGTATAATTTAAAGTGTGCGTCACCCGGTATACTTCTAAACATCTTTATTTAGAGGATTTTTATGACATAACTATTCTGTTATTTTGTTAGAAACATTCAGCAACGGAAGTTTCCCTGTTTAAGCATATAAATAGAATAGAATTAAAACTAATGTGTCAAGCAAAAGCACAATACATTGTTAAAACTCATCGTTGAAATGTAAAATGTTATTCAGAAAGTAAACGGAAAGCAGGTTTCTCTAAGTGTCAAGAAGTACAATGTGTGGAATATAAGTTTACAATTGTATGAAGAATTGGCATTTTCAAGATTTTTACCAGAATTCCACAAAGTACACTGCAGTTCTTTATTTATTTCCAATTTCAATTTTCAAAAAAAAATTCAAATATAAAGGGACTTTCATGCGAACATCTCAGTACATTTTTTTAATTTCCCACATTGTAAAGTTATTATTATTAAAGTTATTTAGTATTTACTAAAAAGAATTAGGAAATGAAACTTTTTTCGGGCAATAAACCAATATCTCCCTATTTCTTTTCGCAAATATAAGCGGGAGTTAATAAACTCCCTAATCTTAGTGTAACAAAACAATTTCTTTCTTTCCTACTTTTAAATGCATCCAACATTATATAAACATTATATAACTTACATAAAAATTTGAAAAACATATTTACATACCTTGGTGTTGTTTTCAATAGAAGTACGTATAAATAAGTATAACCCTCTTTAATTACTAATACCTTCCGACTACTCACAGCGTTAAGCTTTTTAATATGAATCATTTCTTTTATTGCCAGTATATATAATTATTATTTCGTGTTAAAATTTTAGTTTCTGTGAAATTAAGTTGATGGTGCGTTGTTGTAAAGCAGTTGATGCGATTTTAATTAATTTATTATTAATGATTTCTCAGAAAATTATTGATATATGGTTTTGCAACATATTTTTGAATATCCCTAGTTAATTACATTATTTAATGATATTTGCTTTTTATTCTAAGACATGTCGGTTCGTTATTTAAGAATGGATTTAATGTTAGTTTCAGAGAAATAATTTTCGAATAAAATTTATTTAATTTTGAAAAAATTCCTTTTTTAAGCTTTCTGATCGCCGAGGTAATTAGAATTAAACTATAAATAACAATATTTTATATTCTCGGCTCATTAAACCGACATGTTTACTAATTTTTATAATAATTATAAATCATACATATTAAAACATATGCTCAAAATGCCCTAATATTGCGCAAGCCTGTATAATTTCTGCAAAATGTTTTAAATAACTCCTATATACTCATTTCACATCAATGCCAAAAATCAAAATACCGGACTTGGAATTAACAACTTACCCAAAGCTGAATGCCCTAAAGCGATCAGTATAACGGCGAATGCTAAACTATTCATGCTCCTATCTTCGTTGGGTTAAATGTGATATTGGCAGCTCGAACATTCCGTCTGGCAGTCATTCCTGAAAAAAAGGTTGTATAGTACGCAGATCCTTGGAGGCATCAAGTTATGGTTTTTAGCAATCCCTTTTCTATGCATTCTAGAGTTAATTTTTGTCTATAATTTAAATTAATTTAAATATTTAATCACTAAGCTACGAAGAAAATGTAAGACCATTTGCAACGTCAAAATCTCTGTCCAGTTTTTGATCAATTATTTGAAATGTTTGGTAGACAATGATCTAGTAGGAGTGCTCTGAGATGGTCGAACTTCCATTATTTCTTATTTGCAGTGCACTGCAGCGTAGACGAATTTTTAGTCTAAGGCTACGAGGCTTATATACTAGACTAAAGCGTTCACCCGTGGGGATTCGTTAGTGATACAACACTTCCGTGCAGAATTTCGATAGCTCTACTTTCAAATCACAGATAAGTTTTACGTACAAGATGGTTACAAGACGATACCTTCATCGTCTGGAATAGACCCGATGAACAGCTACACTGATTTCTCAATCGTCATGATTATTTAGGATGGTCCATTAAATACACGTCTGAGAAAGAGAAAAACTGCGGCCTATCGTTCCTAGATGTCCTAGAAAGTGGAAATAATGCCCCTATCAGCACTTCTGTATATAGGAAACCTACACATACCCGACAGTATTGAGATTATGAATCTAACCATTCTTAATCCACTCTCTGCAAAATAGCAATCGAAATATTCAGTGATGAAGCATTGACCTTTCGGGAATTAAGAAGTATTAAAAAGAATTTGCTTCATAATGGTTACACTCAAAAATATATTGAGAAAATAATCTCGGATTGCAAACGAAAGGCAACAACAGTAGGACGATCTCTGTCTTGACGATCCATATGGACAGAAAACATGAGTCGATAATCGAAAAAATACTAAGTTAAGACGGTATTCAAGTCCGGGACGACATTAAGGAACACACTTTCAAGAATAAAGCGGGAATCATTGACTCAAAAGAAAGATTGTTAAATTTCTGCAAAACGAAAGATATTTCAAAAATTGTAAGGTTTAGGTAAAAGGTCATTTCTTGTATATTCACACCGCACTTGCAGTTGTTTGAAGTCAAAAGAATTCAAAGGTAAAGGAAGTGATACACAGCACTTTAAACTCTTATAATTCGTATATGTTCATGTTTTTAAGAGCTACTCAAGATAAAGAGGCCCTGTCTATGCTGATATTACAGGAACTTACGTAGAATTTAAGGTTTAAATGAACTTGTATCGTTCAACAACTAACTCATCGTTAATAAGTGTCAGTATTTTCTCAAGATTTGTCCAGATTACATTAAATATTAAGCAAAAAACTATAAGTGCAAGTTGGAAGGTGAAATACAGAGATATGCGCTGAAAATCATTCCCTTAGCCAACTGAGGCGCATCAATTTTTACCGTAGTATTGCAACTATATTTTCTAATAGCGTATGTTCTCAACCTCATCTATGATGAAACCTGAAATGGCAAAAGATACCATTACATATTGACAAATGAAGTTAGAAATTTTCTTTCTATTTGACATGTCTATTTGACATGTTGATAGTGTCCCATCACAGAACGAAGATATCCCACCTCTTGAATCATATGTGTGGGGATCCGCAGAAAATAAAGTTTATTAGCATAGCCAATTTATCCTTACTGCTTTGAAATACCCAGATGACGATTATAATAGAGCGTGCACTGCTAGAAACGAGGGTCATATCGAGCAGGTTTGTTGGTTTGTTTATCAAAAAATTAGTTTCCTCGAAATCATTTTTTTTTATTTCTGAATATTTCATAAACAGGTTTTACAAAACTTCTGGATTCCTCCTGAGTAGGCTTTTGCTGACTCGAACGTGCTACCGTTTTGCCAATCATCCTGTTGGCTTCTTCAGAGCTTGACTGAAACTGAATCGCGGTTAAGATTGTTTGGTTGTTTATAGATTTCTATAGACTCTCGGATTTTTCGTTGGTAGAAAAATTGATTACATGCATTGTTTTATCGAATAAAATTTTATATCCGGTTTCGTGATTGTGTTCGGCAACTACTGATGAGTTTATTTGTCTTAGTCTTAAGGCTCTTTCATGTTCTTTGAGCCTAGTTGATATTTTTCGTCCGGTATCTTCAATGCATTCTTTGCCGGATATGCGTGGATGCTGTAAATTAATGGCATCTCAAATGGAATTTTGTCTTTGATCGAAGATGTTGAGAGATTTTTGGACAAGTGGTAAATATGGTTTTGAAGTTACATTTCTTTAGAACTTTTGATATGTCGTCAGTGACGTATTGAATTTAAGGAAGGACCACAATTTCAAGTATACTAATGCTTCCGGTCTCATTGCTATTGGAAGGTTGTGGTGAAGTGTATTTTATGATGGAACGCTTAATATCCTTAATGTTGATGTTACTAGAGAGATAAGGTGTTTTAATTCTGGGTTCAGTGACTTAGCGGCTCTGTAAAGAAGAGAGTTGATAAGCGATGATTTTTGGGCCGAGTGGTGATATGACCATGCGTAGGTTGTCTGTAAACACAATGACCCAATGTTTGGTCTGATTTTTTATTGATTAGAATTTCTAATAATGGGAGGTTACTACTAATATCCAATTCTATGTTAAAACGTATGTTAGGGTGTATAAAGTTCAAATGTCTTAGAAAATCTACTAGGGATTCTTGACCATGAGGCCAAATAACAAAAGTTTCATCGACATAGCGTTTCCATAATTTTGGTTTTAGTTGAAAGTGGTCGAGATCTTTCTTCTCAAAGGCTTCCATAAATATGACTGACAGGATAATAGAACAGGTTCCTGACATTTGTTCAAAAATTGGACCGTTATAAGAAAAATATGTTCCAGACAGGCATTTTTCAATTAAGGTGAAATTTTGGGTTTTAATATACCTGAAATGATGTTGACAGTTTCGGTAATATCAACTTTGGTAAAGAAGGATTCTATATCGAAACTAACTAGAATATCTTGTGTATATCACGTAATACTTTTTAATTGTTCAATGAAGTAAAAGGAATTAAGTACGAAACTATCAATTTTCACTGTAAAGGATTTTAATAAGCAAGATAGATATTTTGCTAGAAAATATGTTGGAAAACCAATGGCGCTGACAATAGGCCGAAGGGGTAATCCTGGTTTGTGAATTTTTGGGAGTCCGTAGAGACGAGGAATTTCAGCTGTTTTGTAAAAATTGTTTTGAAAAATGTCATAAACAGCTAAGACAAAATGTAAAGGCAAATGTTTTGTTTTTATACCTAATCCAATAAACGCAGCAAAGGGTCTCAATATATAATGAATGCCCCTATACGTTAAACATTAACTAAACCTACCTTGCTCACGGAAACAAAGAATAAACTGACATACAGAGTATTTGATTTTAAAAAGCACAACGCGTTTTTGGGACACCCTGTAAAAAATGTGGAGCATGGGTGTAGCTCCACATTTTTTACAGCTTGTCGCATAATGGGAACAAACCTGTGTTATTATTCGGTATATTCTGCAATAAAAAATCATTCCCTAGGTCGCATAAATCTGGCACAGGTGCTTTACAGGAAGCAAATACCTTCTTTCGCCACGGAACGCATGGAATTACAAATTTCCGCTCGTCTAATTGTCTATAATAGTTTGACTTCAGGCAGCAGACAAACAATCGATAAAGAATGTTGTAAAATTTCTTTTATTACTTCGTCCAATAAATCAAACGCGAAGACGTTACGTTCATGTGGCCGGACATTCCCCGGAAATTGTTAAATCTTCAACTCACGCCGCGCACAGGATAAAAGTTAACTTGTTATAATTTTCGTAACTTTCATTCTCGTTATCCGTTACAAAGCATTAACTTTATAGTTGGGTGCTTCTGAGGAAATTTTAAAATATTATAATAAAAGAAATTGTACCGAAGCATTGTTGAAACGCACATAACGTGATTCGAAGTATTATATCACGTTACGCTCCACGAAATTGATGAATAATTTGCATTCGCTAGTCATTCTAGGATTTCACGAAGGCGACTTGGTCGTTTCGACAGTTCCGTTAATCTTTAATGACGATTGTTATTTGTCGTGTTAAAAATCAGGTGTTGGATTTCAAGAAAAATCCTCGCACATGTCCATCGTAACTTTTTCTTGTAGATTTTTTGCAGTAAATAGAAAATATAACTTCCTTTTTTGAAAATCAATTTTCGAATGCTGCATATTTCCGTATTGTTATTTGTGACTAATTCAAGATGAATTTCAGAGAAATCCTTATTTGGGAAAACAAGGAGTATTTTGTAACTTTGTACCTTCGTATAAAGTTTTATAAATAGATAGATAACACATCAATTATACAATGTCCTTGTAAAATATGGATCAAATTCAATTAAAAATCAGGTATTGGATGTCGAGAAAAATCCTCGCATACGTCCAGCATAATTTTTTCTTGCAGATTATTTTTTGCAGTAAATAGAAAATATAATTTCCTTTTTTGAAAATAAAGTTCAAATTGTAACAATTAATTAAAATGTTAACTTTTATTCGATATGGATACAAAACGAGAAGTCAAGTAGGAATGTGTAATGTCTTTAACGCAAAATATCTAGAAAGACTCATTACAAAATCCACGGGGAGTAAAATTGAGAGAAAATTTATAGAACCAGAGAGATAGATTATTTTGTTAGGTGTTTAAAATACAAACCTTTAAATTCATTAACTGGTTTAAAAACCCTGGCAACACATTACTCAGGATATTTTCATTAATTTGTCTTATTTCGTATCTAATTCCAAATTTTAAATCATCTTAATTATAGGCTTTCTCGTTATACACTTTTAATTTTAAACATCAAATATTCTTAGAGGAAAATACCTGGAGATTTTGCAGGTTCAATCTATTGATCGCCTTCTACCAATCCACTGTCCGGGAAATACCATATTTAAATATTCTCGCGCTTGTCGAGCAAAAGGGGGGAGAGTATCATCATATTGAAACCAAATCGGACCATCTGCTATGTCTGGCTGATTGAGATTTGGGAAAGAAT